GAAAGAGGGCGGAGGTATCGACGCCTTACCTGCAGCAGAGCAGGTTAAACAACGGAAGTGATCTGAGTTTTCACGTTCCTAACGGTCATAGTATTATCATAATAAAAGAAAGAGAAGAACTATCTAGTAAAGTAGAGAAAGAATGAGACAAGATAGTTTACCTGGACAGACAGGTTTTATCGTGAGCTCAAAGACTCAGTGACTAACAACGAAAGAGGGCGGAGGTATCGACGCCTTACCTGCAGCAGAGCAGGTTAAACAACGGAAGTGACTAGAAAGGAGAGTAATCACTTAGACAGAGGCTTTGAGAGGAAATACGAGAGAAAAAGTACGCACTCTGAGTTTTCACGTTCCTAACGGTGAGGAACAAACTCAGAGCTCGAGAGGAGGCTGGTATATGAGGAAACAGCAGACTAGAACACAACATGGAAAAATTCTGACAAGTGTTTCAGCTCGACCAATCGGGTGAAGGCGCACATAATGAACATGAAAGAAATGAAACAACTGATCCCAAAGCGTCATAACTCAATACCAACTCCTGATGCTTTTCATACCTATTCCAACACAATTTTCCCAATCCGGTTAACTTCTAAGAATCCCAGTCTTCTAACCACGTCTTCCTTCATATACCCGTGATGTACTTGACCTTGAATCCATCTTTACCATAACACGTGAAAGTAAGTGAGCAGGTCCTTCACGTCGGCCGAGCGAGTCGCATTATACCCAGGTTCATGATTTGCCGAAATGAACTCTATATCAGAGTCTTGAGAGATATCCATCGCATCTGGGACCTCATAGGCCTAGATCAAAGTGAGTCAGGAAGGAATAATCAATAACTACTTATGAGGCGGTGTAAGTAATCCAGACTACTTACTGAGTCAATCGCTTTCGTTCCTGATTTGGGTGAGCCAATGCCTGAGCTTGTGGATATGGAATGTTGGCTAGGAGATCGGATCGCGTTTGAACGTTGGCTAGTGCTAGTCGAAAGGGCAATCTGACAGTTAAAGGTATTATTAGCGCCATGTACCGAGATGTAGATTTAGAAAGAAAGGTAGGTACTTACAGTTTTTGTTTGCTTTGCCTTCGGTGTAGAGGGTTGGGGACTGGGTGATCTGACATGTTTCCCGGTTGATGAACGTTTCTAACAGAAAGAAACAAGTCTTGAATTAGAAAGTACCAAATCTTCATTGGAAGAACACCTGGACATACCTTCCCTTTATCAGCTTGCTTAACCTTTGAGGTAGCGCCTGATGGAACTCGAAGGTGCTTTTGCTTGCTTTTGGTTGCCGGTGGTCGAGGTGATGCAGCTCGATGAGCCAGAGGACCCGGAGATCCAACCTCAGGACTTTCAGGTCGATTAAGAGCAGCACGCGAGTCGCTCGGAGTCACGACAAACCCTGGCTGGGTTCGAGCAGGACTTGCTGGGCGGAGGGTTCTAGCGGATGACTTACTCGGAATCTGTAAACTACTTTCAGACAAACTGTGTGAGACGTTTTTGGTCATTTCAATGATTTGATGGAAGGAACGGAGTATGTGACTATAGGGATTGGTGAGATCAGAAGTTTTTTAGTTCTGGATGTGTGCGTGAAAAGCGTGAAAAGGAGAAAGTGTCTCTCACCTTTGATTATGACCCCTGGCATGGCTTTTAAAACCACAGTTCGGCCGCTGTCAAAAATATATCCAGGGGAGGTTGTGGAGTGTTCGAAGGGGTGGTGGCGTCCACTCATGGCCGTGCATCTTGGGTGTGGTGTGTACCAAAGTGGTTGATGGATGGGTTGGTAGAGGATTAGTTCGAACCCTGTACCCAGGATACAGCTACCCCTGGGTACAGGGTTTTGCCCCGCTATATAGTGGTGCATTTGCAGACCCGGCCCGTTGTGCAGCGGGATTACCGCTATGGTTTTTCTCACCCCGGGTTTGCGGAGCGCAGTCACCGCTATATATAGCGGTGACTTAGCGGTGTCAAATATCGCTCCGCAACCGCTCCGCAGCAGCAATTTTGAGCGGAGCGGTTGCGGTATTGGCCACAGTTACTATACTAGTATCAGTATCTTGCAGTATAGTACCTTTTTTGAAAGTATAGTATCCACATACTTAGTATCAGAAACCAGATACTATACTCCCAGGTGCTGAAAGACAGTATCTTAAAATTGGATACTAGTATCTGATACTCTTCCAAATGTAGATACTAAAGATACTTGGTATCTGCTCAAGATACTATTGGGTATCTGCAGATACCTGAGGATACCCGCGAGTATCTGAAGTATCCACAGGAGATACTATACTGGACCCTGAGGTTTTTAGGTATCCTGTTTTTGGATGCCATATTCAGTATAGTATCTTTTTAGGATACTATACTTAGGGGATACAAAGTAGAAAGCCGGGCACGTGCCCGGGCATGTGCCCACAAGTCCAGATCCCAAATTTTGGCTGTAAAATTGGGATCTGGACTTGTGGACACGTAGCCGGGCATGTGCCCGGAAGTCCACATCCCGAATTTTGGCTGCAAAATTGGGATCTGGACTTGTGGGCACATGCCCGGCTTTGTCAGCTATGAGGAATTTAGTCGCACTAAAAATTCCCAAATAGCTAAACTACTTAACCTTAACAATAACTACAATAATTGTAACTACAAAAGTCTATAAAAAATATATATATCACATCTCAACACTCGAGTTTCAAGAGTGAACAATTACGTCATATTACAATTATTTGAAACACTGGCCAGGATCCAATACCAATTGAACCCTGACCAGGCTAACTCAACCTCACAACCACCAGGTTGGTTAAACACTACATTAACAAACCTGGAGCTCACAACGAAAACGATTTCAGGGAAAATCAAGAACCCTTAATTTTACCAAACCAGCTTAGGCAAATTAGAAGATCACTACACCACGTTAGAAAACTAGCTTCTATATAATTCATAGATTCCTCCCAAGAAAGAAGAGGACCACCGAAAAGCAGAACTACCAAGTTTTACTTGAATTACTCAAAGCTCTTATTTGATAAACAAAACTCGTTTTACTTTTAACAGAAACCAAGCCGCATTAAACTTAAATTTTAGACAATAGCTTTTTAAAGACTTACCACTTCAAAACTAGCTCTCTGTCTCACTTTTAATCGTTCCATTTCTTTTGTTTCTTAAAAGAAAACCCCAGTTACGTAGATCTTCAGAACTATAGTTTCATTCAATTTCTTGATTTTCATCCTATTGCTAGAGGACAAAGGATTTAAAACTCTACCTATTAGGATCTTATCAGTAAGACCTAGTGGAAGGCGTTTAGTTGATTTAGATCTCTAAACAGAAACCCTTTTCGGAATCCAAAACTCCACGAGGAGTTGTCCAAGTAAGCGAGTTTACACCTCACTCCATTTATCAATTCTCCTCCTTCCTTCTTTCAGTAGGATAGGACTCAGGCCTTTATCAGTATAGTGCTGATCCAGGCCAGAGCTTTGAGGGCTAGAGGCCATCTCGTGACCTGAAAGGTCACGGGTGGCCAGTCTTAAGGTAACTGACCAACTCCTAGTGCAAATGGAAGGTGGTTCTCGAATGGAACCACTTCGAATTGACTATGGAGTAGTCTTACCTTTGAAGAAGTAAGGGGAGAGCCGGTGTCCCCTATCACTCAGGGCTTGTGGCAGTCCTGAGCCGCTCCGGCTCTCCCCTAATACTGACGCTAGCCCAGTGTCATTGGAGAAATCTTTTAAAATCAAGCGGAAAACAGCGGAAGACTAGATTTCATACTGATAGAGTAGTGTAATGGAAATGCAATTCTGGAACATGTGATCTAAAGATTCAAACGAAAGAAGGTAACATGTCTCCTGTGGAACGCAAAACTTTTACTGCAGCGCGCCAATCAGCATCATTCCATTCACGCTGGTAGAGCTTGTGGCAATCTGATTTCCAACGTCCTAGAGCCTTTAAAGCAGGTATATCAACTCCAGCCTTTGTCAAGAGTGTTGCCCCCCCAATTCTGAAAGAATGACCCGACAGAGTTCGGTTTTTCCCCCAGGCTCTTGTTAAGGTTTGTTCAAAAATGGGTCTAGTGATTGCTCGTGTTAGACCATCATCCCAGGTCATGAATAGACAAGGGTCTTTCACCCGCTCCATTCGGCGCAAGAGTTTCCCGATCGCAATGAAAGGGCATAATCGACCGCCGGTTTCAAGTAGGACAAGGAACTGTTCTTCACCGTGCTTAGATGTTTTCGCCTCTCTAAGAGTCAGTCGAACCGTGCGGTGACCGTTTATCTGAATGAATAATACATCTGTCTTCAGAATAGCGCTAATGTCTTTCTTCTGGTAGGTTGTTGACTCGTACAGCAATTCGCCCATCCTAGCTAGTCCCCAGTAGGCCGTCAAGATGAGTGCTTTTAGGCCTATTGGGTCTACCTCGTTTTCGTCGATGCTGTCTAGGAGGTGTAGAAGCTCTTTAGGGGAAACAGGTTGACGGTCGTAGGCGAGTAGCTTTGCTGTTGTCTCAAGTCTTTGTGATGCTTGAAGAATGCTTTGGATTCTTGTCGGGAGGAGCGTAGGGCATGTTTTCCCGTGGGAGTCATGCCACGTTCTGATGGCCGAGAGGTACTTATGGATAGTCACCACCCTTATCGGTTTGTTTGTCGCATTGGTGTTATGGTTGTGGCCGGCCCAGATTATGAAGCGTTCGATGGTTGATTGTGACAAGGGGAATGCCTTTAGCTTGAATCTAGCCATAAACACCTTGAACTTCTTAACTCCCGAGGCGTAGGATTCCAGCGTTGACGGTTTCCACCCACCTTTTATCATATGTCATTGGGAGCTTGACAGAGTTAGTGCCACGTCATCGTCAATTCGTAAGAAAGGTATCAAATTTTTCATTTTCTTTATTTGAATTTTTGGGGGTAAGATCATTAGTATCAAATCAATGTTCTTGGGCATTTGACTGGAACTTACTCTTTTATGTTCAACAGCAGGTGTTCAATACCAAGCAAAAGGATCGTTATACGTCTTGGGAAATAGGATGCTCGCAATGTGTTGGCTTGGAGTCATGCCACTTCTCAGAACAAAACCGCGAAGGGAAATGTTTTGGGTTAAACAGATGAATTTCAAATCAAATTTCAAATTAACTATCGAAAGCATTTACAAATTGTCAATACAATACAACAAGATGAGACATTAGAAGGGATGAGGTATCGCGTCTCCGTCTCCTGCATTTCGTAATGCGTGCTGTAGGTCGTTCGGTATATCTACTAGGACCTGGTAACACCAATTTTCCGAGGGCGCTATTTCCCGTGATAATTTGTCTGCTCTGTTATCAACTGAGGTTACCCTACGCTGTCCAAGTTGGCAATCTGTTGCGTATAGTAACGTGCTGATCTCCTTCCATTCGTGGTTCACCCAAAAGTCACGAGAGCGTTCATTCCTTAGCACCCCTTCTGTAGTCGTGTTGTCGGTGAGAACTAAGAATCTTTTCCCTTCTACGTCTTGCAACTTCTGTAACATTAGCAGTCCTAGTCGTACCGCCACCGTCTCAAGCCAAGCTATCCCGCGCTTTGGGAGGTCGAGGGGCGTGTCCCAGCCGTTCAAAAGTTTAAATTGGGACCATTGCTTTCCAATAATGATACCTATACCAAAAGATGTCGATGCGTCTCCGACCCACCCGACGTTAGTTACTAGTCTAGGTTGTAGTAGGTGTCTATTTGGAAAGTTGTGGAGAGCGTTTAACCACACATTCATGTCTTTCCTAACTGAAGATGGAATTTTCCTTTTGGCATAAACATTCGCCCATTCTGCCAACCATTTAAAGTTGCCGGATAAGTAGCAACGCAGTTGAGGGAGGATGTAAGATACATGGTTTAGTCGTCCATTCATTTTTTCTACGTCTTTATGAGAGTAGTCAACCTTTGCTAGGAACTCTTCGAGTTGTAAAATTCTTTGAGACAGTTTTGTTTTGGGTAAGCAAACGGTTTTCTCCTTGATATTCCACAGGAATCCTATATATTTCTGCTGATCAGCGAAGTGTGAGAACTTCGTTTCGTTCGTTTTCACTCCCAGAGCTGAGCTATACTGCACTACTTGATCCATGTTTGTTGGTTGAGCTTCCTCTTTGATGAGGAGGTTGTCATCAACCCATCTAAAGATTTCTAAAAATCCAAACTGTAGCTTGACTAGATCTTTCCAGGCATCAGCTGGGCCTCCGAAGCTTCCGCACCCAGCCACGCCTCCGAAAGATATGCAAATGTCTATATAATGAAAACCGTTCGAATCTGTTATGATTAAGTAAGGCCATTGACTCGGGAGGGTTCCTATTTGACGGTACGCTTTTTCCCAGTCGAAGAGAGCGGCCTTCGCGTTTACTGATAAGTTTGCTATGAATTCTGCTACTTTGCAAAAGTTGTCCCAGGTGGTTGCGAAATCTTCTTTGTTTACGAATGAATTTACGCTTGGGATGGCCGGATTGTTCTTCGGGAATGAAAGATCGTTGATGGGTCTGAAAGACCCATCACCGTTTACCACGGCCCCTATCGGGCTAGATCTAAAGAATCTAAATCGAGACTTCAATTCTTTGGTTGTGAAAGGTCCAAACATCCTTCCTGCCGCCACTTCTTCTTTTATGTTCTTCATAACTTTCTCATTGACCTCTTCTGCAGATTTATGATTGGGGGGACAGAAGAATTCCATATTTTCAATCGTATGGAAAGGAATACCTTGATTGAAACCGTTGATGAATCCATCGACTACAAATTGATAATTTGGTAACAATCCTTTCTTTCCTAGTTCTAGCTTCCACAATTCTATGTTCATCTTGCTGTAGGGTTTTGTTGGCCATTTCGATTCTGTGTTTTCAGGTTGATGACTATGATTTCTGATCATCGAAAGGTCTTCCTCTAAGGGTAATTCACTTCTTTCTCCTCTAAATTTGGTTAATGCTGTCTCCTTTGACTTCTTTCCTGTTTCTCTTTCTGGACCATCATTTTGATTTTCGGTTTGTATTGATTTTCTGAAAGTAATGGGCGAAAAGGGAAGAAAGCAATTGCTATGAATATTTCATCCATCGTTCTTAAACTTCTTTATGTTAATTAACAGATTAAGATTCTATTTCTTTCAATCAAAATGGAGTATACAACTTTCATCTGTTTAAAGATCACAGGTACAGTTATACTTATCGTTATACATGTTAATCAACAAATTTATGACATTTACTTCAAGAAAAACAAAACGTAGTGCACTCATAAATGAAGGGGAGTAACTACGCCTTGACTATGTTGAGCAGAATCGGAAAGGACCGAGATAGTGAAAAAAGATGAAAGATAAAAAAGGAAATTCTGGAAAATATGCTCTCTTGTAGACAGATCTGTGACAAGACTCACTGTTGGCGTGCTCTACCTCTGGTGTTTGTGCCTCCTCTTCCTCTCCTATTTCCTCCTCTTCCGCTGTTGTCTACAGCGTTAGGTTGTACAATTGGAGTTCCTTCTCCGTCGTTTCTTACTTGGTTTACGATTGTTGTTCTTTCTGCTAAGTCTTGATGCTGAAGAGTTCTAGGATGTCTAACGGGTCGTCTTATGTGGGATGATGAATGGCGGTTGTTGGTTGACATTTTCCTTTTCATCCCAGTCGTAGTTGGGTTACTACATTCAAAAATGCATAAATAATCTTATCATCTTACTCAGCCAGGTAAAAATGCTTACTCAATCCAGTTACCCGTAATCGGGTTTCTATTCTCGTAACGCTCCCCTTTTGCATAAGGGTTTATGTTACCGAAGGATAGTTCTCCCGTTTTCGCTGCTTGCTCTTTGGCTCGTTTTTCGTAATTTTCTACATATAAACCTGCATCTGGGACTGGAACACCTTTTGCTTGATGCGTGAAGAGTTGGGACCTGAACATGATATCGTATCTGAGTGCTATCATCCAACATTCGGTTGAGTCTCTAAATAATTTATTTGGATAACTTGTCAGTCAATCCGTTTTGCTCATGCTTTTTTAATCATCATCGTACTTCACTTACTTTATATTCTTCACATGTTTAATGTGATTCTTTAGCTGCTTTGCTAATATTTCGAATTTGTAAGTTTCTTTCAAATACTTTCTGAGCAAAGAGATTCCATCGATCCATTCGCCGAAGGACATCCTGTATTCAGAAGGTGGGTTTAGTCCTCTATGCGAGACGATTTGGATGATGATGATGGCTGATTCTTGTGGCTCTCTTCTTGATCGAGTTGAACAAAAGACGGGTTCAAAACCGTTAAAGGTACTCTCTCGTTCAGTTTCAGCATCGCTTCGTTTCAATAGGTCTAGAGTAACAAGCGCAGTACGATATCCTGAAGGTTAGGTATGTAACTTATCTTTCCAATTCTTCGATTGAAAGTGAGGTTCTTACTTGAAGTGTAGGAAGCAGGGATGTGCAAGCTAGACCAGATTGAAAATGTATACCGTTTTCTTTAGATACTTTGCTCTTTGCCGAAGACGAAGACTTCATCTTCTTCGTAGCTGGTTTCTTCCCATGCTTGTTTGTTCCTTCTTTCACTAAAGAGATTTGGGATTGTTTTAGTTCCTCTAGATTTATACTAGGAAGATGTCTGAAGTAAAAAAGTTTTTATTCACCTCTCTTCTTGGTTGTGCTCATCTCTTTCTTGTTTGCTTTCTCTCTTTCCTTTATGGCGTTTTCTATCGCTTTATCAAGTGATTTGATAGATTTGCGTTTGCCTAGATGAATCAATCAAGATTTTTCTAAGTCAGTTTATGTGACTTCTGATATCTGTGGAGAGCACCACATTCGGAGTTGAAAAACTCAAGACTTTATTTATTGTCTCTTCCCCAACAGGGGGCGCTCAAACAAGGGAGCTCATAAGATGAAATTCGAACCTTACCTTTCTTCGTCTTTTGTTCCGATACTTCTGAGTCGTTTGATTCATCTTCAGACGATGAGGAACTGTCAGAAGACGAGCTTGATGTCTCTTCATCTGATGAATCCGATGTTGAACCATCTGAGTTGTTTGAACTAGAGCTTTCTGACGGTTGATCTTCTTCTTCGTTCTCCAATATGGTCAAGTCCACTCTTTGAGCTATTACATTTGATTCGTTAGCTTCACCCTGCTGATAATTCTCCATTTGGCCAGCTATGTCGTCTCGAAGCTGTTCGTCGAGTGCTTCTCCGTCTAGTTCTTCTTCGTCGGGGTTGTCTGTACCTTCTAAATTGCTATCAGTAGGGTTTTCTTGGTCTAAACCGGATGACGAAGGTGGCGGAATGACTGTAGGGTTTGCTACTGGATCTTCTACTCTTCCTCTTCTGGTTACTCTTACGCTTTGTTGTTGGCTAGGCATCTTGTTGGGTGGTTCAAGTTGATAGAAACGAGGTAGTTATGGAATGATTAGAAACGATAAAGTTATTAAGAAATTGAAGTTTATCTTATAAACTCAAAACTATGATGATATGTTGTACTTTGGAGAGATTTGTGAAAGTTGATACTCTTAAAACGAGGATTGCTAATGACTTCTCTTAAAAACCTGATGCTGAAAGTTTATTATAAAGGATTTAGATTCTATTTATGTAGCTAGTCTAAAGTATGCTTGTTCAGATTTAGTAACAAAAATAATCTCTGTTCTATCACAACGAGAGATGGAGAATGGAAAATAGAATAGGAAGTTATTCAGATAAAAAATTGAGTAAAAGATTGTACGCGGGCGAGAGACCTTTGGAAAGGGATGAAAGGAAGCATCACTTATAGACTCTCTTCCCCCGCGGAGATGCACCTTACGATGACGTCTCTTTCACTCGAAGAGGTGATCTTGGACTACCTCAGGTTATCCGTGTACAACCGCGGAATGTGACTAACCAACCTACTTGAGTCAATTACTCAAATTGGGTTTTTTCTTCATGGACAAGCTTGACACTTCGTACCTCTTGCAAAGACCAATTAAAACACTTTTTCCTGATCGATTAGAGCAACTACTAATCAACTCTTGTTCAATTAACAGAACTTTTATTTGGCTAGAACTTATAGTAGCCCAACTGCTACCACAAAGCCAGCGCGTATTCATCTTAAACGTCTCAAAACTTGTCTTTCGAGTCACATCTCATCTTGAGCTCATCCTTTTAGTCTCTACTTGGAATCTCAAGTTGACAGGCTTTCTACTTTGTATCCCCTAACTGATACCTTTTTTTTGCAGTATTGCAAAGGAGATACTATACTCGGTATCCCCAATACTATACTAGTATAGTAACTGTGGCAGCGTTGTTTCTAATAATAAACAGATTTCTTCTGATCTACTAGAATGATGAGCAGTAACTACCTTCCATTGTTTGGATGGTAAGTCTTGAGTGTCAGGTCCGTTGTCGCTATAGATGGTGATTTTAGGTTCAAAGCGAGCTCTATTGGTGTCGTCCATGTTATTCAACATCCAATTAGTAATACATGCTCTGCTTACTTCATCAGTGAATTGACTGTTTTCCAATTTTATCTCATCAGATGATAAGTAGTCAGAAATGAACAGAGATTTTAGGCCACCACAAATAAACAAAGCCCAAAGCGTGTAATGATTGTCAGTTAATAATTTCATTGATCTTCCTAAAGATTGGTTTAGGAGCATGGCTTGTTGTTGTGGGGTTGATTTGTTTGACATATTTGTATTAGGATTGATTGATAGATTGTTATCTGCACTGCCAGCATAGATGCCTCGGGTTGAGAAATCCAAGGCATCCACTGCCAGCATTAAAGAGGTTCCCAGATGGGAATCTGGGTCCTAGTGATCAGATTCCCATCCTGCTACTGTTACACAGTTCCATGAATATTTCCTGAGTAGCCATTGTGATATATGTAGTCAATATTTTGAAATGTGTGTCTCAATCTGAGCAAAGTTACAGCATGTATTACACATGATTTTCTTATCTAGATGGGCAGACAACTGAGCGGACCTGTATGTAGCTGATAGCTAAGGATTTACTCAGAAGTTTGCACATATGTAGTGTATGCTTTATGGCTCAGATGTGCAGTTCAAGATGATTTGATGCTCCATTCTTCTCTCAATGATATTCCCAGCCTAGGTCATGTTCCGACCAGGGAACCTATTTAATGCTGGCAGTGATCATTGGAGGCAAATTCTCGGACAGACCTTGTCCAAGATTTTTGCCCGAGGTATTTTTTTGCCCTGAGAAGTACCTTGGATCAAAACCTTGGGAAGCTTCTGTCTGAGGTTTTGCATCCGAGGATACCTTGGATTTTGTAATCCGAGGTAAATATGTTGGTGGTGCTGTTTGAGATGATTGATTCATGTGTGATAATGATAATGGATTTGGAGAATGTGAACTTAGTAATTGAGATATAAACCTTGCCATTTGATCTCCTTTGTCTTCTGAGTGTTCAGAGGGTGGTACTTGGGTTGTCGATTGTGAAAAGAAAGGATCCAAGTCTTCATTCATTTGTTTGAAGGATTGTAGATATGTCTCTTGCTACCATAAGAATGTATTGAAGTCTCAGAATACGGATCTGATAGCATGCACTAGAGCACAGTAAACACAATATTCCACAAGCTCTGATAAAATAAGGACTCTGACCTAATCAAAGAGGTTCAAGTTAAATGATAAGTTAGTTAAGTTCTTGCTGTTTGATAAGAGCACTAATTTGATGAAGTTCCCAGCGCTGACGTCCTCTGTTTTATATGTGAGTTAATGTGGCAATGTTCAAGAGAGTTGATATGACAAATCTCTCACCATCAATAAAATTACCACAATATGTTTTCATGAAGACATCCTTGCGCAATTCAATTGCGTCAAATGCTCTCCAGAAATCTCTGACGTTGAATTAAGTGGCTACAGATGAATTAAAGTCTGAAACTGATTCAAATTGGACTTGAATCTGTGGTTGGCCTTGGGAATCCTTTCGGTAAACTTGACGAGTTGGTACACATTTTGCAAGAATCTGTCTGCCTTCTTGATAAAAAAAAATCGGAACTACAATGCGCTTGGATTGTAATTGAACTGGTTCAAATAAATAAAAATGACCATTGGCGGAATCCACCATCTGGACCCTTATATCACAATCAAGCTCTTCCCTCCATTTTTTTGACTGGGCAAATCGGTTCACTTTGTCTGTCACGCTTGGCAATTTGGGTATGAATTGCAGATGTTCGGCAACAAATGGATTGCTTAATTCCTGAAAAGTAAGGCTGCTTACACAGTGCCCGTGGAGAAGGCCCCCGACGTCGGGGGCCCAACAGTCTTGGCAAGTGTGTCGCATTTGTGTGAATTTTGTGTCACAAATGTCTACAAATGTACACAAAGGGCAAATATTGCATGCACATCACCCAGGCTGAACTTCATCAGTCTGAGTCAAGACTCAGGCAGATTAGGAGACGAGCAGCCCTGAACGCTCAGTATTACCGACTGAACGCTCATTTTTCCCTACTGAACGCTCAGTGTTCTTCACTGAACACCTAGAAGCTGCCTACGAATTATCCTTGCTCCGAGAAAAGCTAGTGACCATCCGCCCGTTCCACCTTGCATAGCTCGCTCGCACGTCCGAACACGCCTGCGGGGTCAGCTGTCAGATCAGATGAGTGGTCAACAGTTGGATAACTCCTCCTATGTAGTGAGTCTATGTAAAG